CTGCCCTTGACAATCCCCTGCCCTCCCTTACCCCCCAGTGTCTTATGTCCATTGGTTTTGCTTATATGCATGCATACAAGTCCTTCGGTTGATCTCTTACTCCCCTCCCTTCTGCCCCCCAACCCTCTCTGGCCTTCCCACTGCAGTTTGACAATCAGTTTGAGGCAGCTCTGCCTCTGTATCTATTATTGTTCAAAAGTTTGTAATGGTCTTTATTATCCATGAATGAGTGAGATCATGTGGTATTTTTCCTTCATTGACTGGCTTATTTCACTTAGCATAATGCTCTCCAGTTCCATCCATGCTGTTGCAAATGGTAAGAGTTCCTTCTTTTTTACAGCAGCATAGTATTCCATCGTGTAGATGTACCACAGTTTTCTAATCCATTCATCTACTGATGGGCACTTAGGCTGTTTCCAGATCTTAGCTATGGTGAATTGTGCTGCTATGAACATATGGGTGCACATATCCTTTCTGATTGGTGTTTCTGGTTTCTTGGGATATATTCCTAGAAGTGGGATCACAGGGTCAAATGGGAGTTCCATTTCCAGTTTTTTGAGGAAACTCCATACTGTCTTCCATAGTGGCTGCACCAGTCTGCATTCCCACCAGCAGTGCACAAGTGTTCCTTTTTCTCCACATCCTCTCCAGCACTTGTCGTTTGTTGATTTGTTGATGATAGCCATTCTGACAGGTGTGAGATGGTACCTCATTGTTGTTTTGATTTGCATCTCTCGGATGATTAGTGACTTTGAGCATGTTTTCATATGTCTCTTGGCTTTCTGAATGTCCTCTTTTGAAAGGTGTCTATTTAGGTCCTTTGCCCATTTTTTGATTGGATTGTTTATCTTCTTTTTGTTAAGTTGTATGAGTTCCCTATAAATTTTGGAGATTAGGCCCTTATCAGATATGACGTTGGCAAATATGTTTTCCCACGCAGTGGGTTTTCTTGTTGTTTTGTTGATGGTTTCTTTTGCTGTGCAGAAGCTTTTTATTTTGATGTAGTCCCATTTGTTTATTTTTTCTTCATTTTCCAATGCCCTAGGAGCTGTATCGGTGAAGAAATTGCTTTGGCATATGTCTGAGATTTTGTTGCCTTTGGATTCTTCTAGTATTTTTATGGTTTCCTGTCGTATATTTAAGTCCTTTATCCATTTTGAGTTTATTTTTGTGTATGGTGTAAGTTGGTGGTCTAGTTTCATTTTCTTGCATGTATCTGTCCAATTTTCCCAACACCATTTATTGAAGAGACTACCTTGGCTCCATTGTATGTTCTTGCCTCCTTTGTCAAATATTAATTGAGCATATTGGTTCGGGCTGATTTCTGGGGTCTCTATTCTATTCCATTGATCTATATGTCTGTTCTTGTGCCAGTACCAGGCAGTTTTGAGAACAGTGGCTTTGTAATACAGCTTGATATCTGGTATTGAGATCCCACCTACTTTGTTCTTTCTCAGGATCGCTGCAGCTATTCGGGGTCGTTTTTTGTTCCAGATGAATTTTTGGAGAGTTCGTTCTAGGTCTGTGAAATATGCTGTTGGTATTTTAATGGGAAGTGCGTTGAATTTATAGATTGCTTTGGGTAGTTTGGACATTTTAATGATGTTGATGTTGTAGTTGTGCCTTGATTGCTTTTGGCATCACTGGGAGGGATGACCTCCAGGTCAGTTGGCTGTGAAGACCAACTGTATCTACAATGGAAGAGCTTCTGTGCAGGAGACACCCCTATGGAGCAGGACTTGCTTAAGTGGGGCTTTGGGTCTCACTGAGTCTGCCCCTTGAGTGTGTCGCTTGTGGATGTGTAGAGTTGTAATCTGATATGTTCTGAAGCTGTCTACCAGGTGCACTGACTCTGGGGCCACCCAACAGGAGCTACAAAGATCTCTGCAGATGGGTGCTACTGGTATTGTGCTAAAAAGTGCCCAGGCAAAGCCCAGCTGTGAAGCAAGGCAGACTGGTACTAAAGCCCGGTATTGATTAGGTTTGGGGCACACTGGGGCCAGTTGCTGCTTGTTTAGGAAAGTCTGAAGCCTGAGCCAGGACAGGCCATTCATATGGAAAAATAGCTGCAAACAGCTTGAGTGGGGCCGCAATTGGATGGGACAAGGTCTCAGGGAATCACCAGGGTGGAGGGAACAGTGTGGACCATGCTGATGAAAACTCAGATATGGCTGCCAGTTAGCTCTGTGACTGTGGAGATCTAAGCACAGGAACATTGACCCCTGTGAGCACCCCTGTCTGGGAGAAAACCATCCCTGGGTTCCTGCCCTGATGACAAACAGTCCAGTTCTTCCCTGTATGTTCCTGGATTCCCCCAACACTGCTGCCCAGTGCTGGAGCTCAGAGGAAGTGGGACAATGAAGTTTGTGCACGGGCCTTTCAAGAGGAACACCTGGGACTCCAACAGCCTCCATGTCACTTAGCCACAATCATCGCTGGCTTTTACAGCCCAAAGTTATGGGGACTTTTCTTCCCAGCTCTGGAACCTGGGCCGGGGGTCTGGTGTGGGGTCAGGACCCCTGCTTCTCACAGGAAGCCTTGGAGATTTCCCTCCCGAGTAAAGAAACACCATGCGTGGTTGTCGGACTAGCCCATTCTGTGCCTCTGCCCCTCCCACTAGTCTCAATGTGCTTTCTTCTTTACTTCTCCAGTTGTAGGGCTTCCATTCAGCCAGATTTCAGGAGGTTCTGAATGATAGTTGTTCTATATTTTAGTTGTAATTTTGATGTGGTTGTGGGAGGTGGTGACTACCAGTGTTTAACTATGCTGCCATTTTTGTTCGATTTATGTATTACTGTTTTTTTCTCTGATTTCTTTATTGGCTTCTTTTTTATTTTTCATTAATACTGGGCATTATTCAAAGCTTTATTTTGGCCCTTCTCAGTTACTTTCAATAACTATTAGATACATGTTTATCTGCATGAATTCTTATTAAACCTATCTGAACTTGGATATTTTTCTTTTTCTATTTCCGTCATGCATTTTTACATCTTTATTTAGATATGCCTTCATCTTTTAAAGAAGTCATAAATCACTTCTGCTTTCCTGGTCTTCCCAATCCTTTCTACTCGTTTTTTGCCAATATCACTGATCTTTGTGAATTTAAGAGTCTTTATTGGAAAATTATAATCAGTATTTTATTTCTTGCTGTTAACATCATATCACCAAAGGATTACTGTTATTTTTTTATAGTAGTTTTGCTTTATTAATATGTATGGTCATATATAAATGATTTCTGTACATAAATAAACATATCGATAATTATTAATGCCAAGATATAATCACTAGAATTTAAAATAAAGGAGGAATAGTTTGTTTCTCTTTTATCTCCTAGTAAATATTGCCATTTTTTTCCAAGAGCTGAGATGTCATAAATTTTCCTTCTGAGGTGCCTCAAAGAAAATTAAAACAATTTTCTTAAATTATATCTTAAAGGTGTTTTTAATACAAATGTCTTTGCCTCTGTGTTTTTCCTTTCAATTTTGTTTGTGAATGATACACTATCAGAAGTATTTAACCACATATTATGTAAAGTCTTTCATTATATCAACTCTTTGAATATTTTGTCTTTTTCTTAGTAAACATTTTATTTTAGCAAGGTTTTTTTCCATAATTTTATTATTTCAACTAAGTTTTCCCCCACATTTTCATTGAAGAGAGATTTTTCTTCTCAGATTCTCCAGAGAATGATATTCCTATGGAGATCACCACAGCAGAACCACAAGTTTCTGAGGCAGTATATGATTGTGTTATTTGTGGGCAGAGTGGCCCCTCCTCTGAAGACCGACCTACAGGATTGGTTGTTCTGTTACAAGCATCCTCAGGTAAAATTAAAGTACTTTTCAGTGGGAACATTTTAGAGATAAAGTATATACAACAGATTAATAAATCTGTATTGAATGGAAGTTATATATTTGTCTAGATATAACTATAGGTCTACATAGCAACGGTTGATTTAGAATTGTATAGCAAAGATTCTTAATGTGGTTTTATCTGACCTTGCTGGACATGAGTGTTGGAAGAACTTTTTAACAGAGAGATCTCTTTATATGTTACAGTCTTTTTCCTTAAAATGATGTGGTGTATTACCAATGCTAGGTGGCCATTAGTTGAGTTTAGTGTTTTTGGCAATTTAATTATTCTAAAATCTGGAAGAATTTTAACACCAGAAATATTGTCAAATTAAATATTGATTTTTTTAAGAGAGGAAGGAAGGAGAAGAGAGAAAAAGAAAGAGAGTGAGGGACAGAAACATTGATGTAAGAGATACATCAATCGGCTGCCTCCCATTTGCACCCCAACTGGGAATCAAATCCTTGACCTTCTGGTGCACGGGATGATGCTCCAACCAACTGAACCACACTGTCCAGGGCTGTCAGCTTAATTATTTTAATTGCATAAGGCATATTCAGGTAGCTTTGCCCTTATATCTTGAGCTACTAGAAGGTGTCATCCTTGAGACAGTCAGCTGACAGATATGTTTGCCAATCTATAGTTAAAACAAATTTTTTTTTTTTAAGGATTTGTCTGAATGCTCTCTATTCTCTCCCTTACTGAAGTATTTGAGGTAGGGTTATGATTAGGGTTAGAAGATATAACATTTATAAGTATATACACATCAAATAGCAGAGGCTCAAAATATATGAAGCAAATATAGAATTAGAGGGAGAAATCTCTATATATAAAAGGCTAATATGCTGTTTCTCTCCCACTGTTCGACCAGTCGCTATGACACGCACTGACCTCCAGGGGGCAGACACTCAATGCAGGAGTTGCCGAGACACACACTGGCCATTTACAGAGACACGACAGCACGGTCCTGGTGCCGACAAAGCAACACTCAGCTTCCCCCAAGTAGGACATAGGCCCTGCCACCATCCTGGAGCAATAGTCCACCAAATCACAGCCAATGCTGCTGGGACTCCATGGTGTAAAATGCAGCCCACAGTCCAGCCCAGCCTGGAAACGGTGGCTGTGGATGCCGGGTAATGACATCACGTAGCAATGCCCAACTTCCTCTCCCTAGCAACTTGCCTCCTTGCAGTTTCTTCAGCCCAGGAACATGACTTGCTTTATAGCCAGGTGCAAATATTTTACACTTTAACCAAATGTTTGTGAAGCATTTTTCCATGCCTCATCTCATTTGATCCTCAAAAAAGCCCTGGAGTAGGTAGATAGGAGATTTGTTAGAATCCTATTTTCTTTTCATTAGCCGGAAAATGGAGATTTAGAAAGTTTAGAAACTTGACCTGACTGAAAAGAAGTAAGAAATTATGGATCTTGAAATGACTTTAGGTTTTCTCACTGCACAGAATATAGTCAAACACTGCTGCAGTTAAATATTTTACCCTTTGTTCTCCCTGCGTGATCTACAATAATAATCTGCTTCGTGTTGATATTTACTGCTGTGTTGCTGACCATTACCTGAAAGAGAAGTTGGGGTGCTTCACTGGGCTGGAAAAGGTTTAGCTACATCAGAAAGCAGGTCTAATTAAGCAAGTTTATTCTATATATATAAAAAGCTAAGTTGACTCGTGCATGCACAATACATAGAAAGCTCTCACTGGTGCCAATCACACATGTGTGTTTCGATCTGTCATTGTCTATCGTGAATTTGGTTGACACTTCTATTATAAAGAAAGGGCGAATAGCGATACTAAAATATTTCTTCTAATTAATTTCCTTTCAATGTGCACGAATCTGTGCACAAGGCCACTAGTGGTTTTATAATGATGGTTGGAGACTTTAATCTCCCATTTTCAATAATTTATGGAACAGCTAGACAGAATATCAAAAAAAAGAAATAAAACACTTAAGCAACACTATAAAACAATTAAACCTAAAAACACCCTTGAATACTCTTTCTAACAATAGTAGAATACAGTTTTCTCAATTGTACATGGAACATTCTCCAAGATAGACCATGGGTTAGCCATTAAAAAGTCTCAATACATTTAAAAAGACTGAAATCATCCAAAGTATCACCTCTGACCGCATGGAATGAAACTAGAAATCAATACAGCAGGAAAATTGGAAAATTCACAAATATGTGTAAATAACACATTCTTAAACAACCAATGGGCCAAAGAAGAATTAGAAGGTCCTGTGAAACAAAATAAAATGGAAACACAACATACCAAAACTTATGTGGGCGGTGAAAACAGTGCACAGAGGGAAATTTATAGCTGCAAACACTTCCCTCAAAAAAAGAAGATCTCAAATCAGTAACGTAACTTTACACTTTAGGAACAAGTTGACTGCAAAGCTAGCAGATAGGAAGAAATAAAGACTAGAGCAGAGATAAATGAAAATCTTAGGAAACCAATACAGAAGTGCATACATCATGGATAACTATGTTTTAGTTGTTAGCATTTACTTGCTTCTGTCTCTTCTTTTTGCCACTACTCTTCAAAACTTGGGGCCCACAGTGAGTGTTATGGCTAATTTACCTTCCCTAAGAATGGCTCTTCCCATGCTTATCAGTCTTATAATAATGTATGGCACTGTATGTTTTTATCCCTACTCCCCTTTCTTGTGCTTTTACAATTATAAAATCCTAGTATTTGTTTTTCTCCTTTTGCCATATACCTCTTCCCAAGTTTTCATTTTGAAAAGTTTTATATCAAGTGCATGTGATTGCCCAGTTGGGGTCGCTAGCGGAGCTTGTAGGGGAAGATTGTTTTTGGGGAGCCTGGAAAACAGAGCTGGAAGTGGCGACTGGTGAACCAGCTCTGGGCGGAGCTGGTTCAGGTACAATAGAGAACTCCTGGTCAGAGAGGACTTAAAGCCTTGGAGGTCAATCCAGACACACTGCCACCCAGAGGCAGAGCCACGAACTGACTCTTCTGTAAACACAGATAAGGCAGTAAGGGGAACCAATACGGCCTGCCTTAAAATCAGGACTGTGGCTTACAACACGGAGGAACAGTGTATCAGAGGGAAATTCAACATTCTCCTGAATTCCGGGCGTGCCAAAAAGAAGAGTAGAAGATCTGAAGCACCTGCATTACTGCACATTTTTATTTTATTTTTTTAATTAATTACTTTTTCACCTTTTAACTAAGAAAACATTGTTTTTCTTTTCTTTTTTTTGCCTAGCACAGGCCCAAGGATCCCTTTTCTCGGGGCAGGAGGCAGCACCAAGCACCAGTGACTTGACTGTGTTTCTTATCACCTGCGCCTGAGATCCTGATTCCCTGTGCATTCATACTAAGAGCCAGTGAATCCAATTCCTGGTGCAAGGGCACACAGGGACCCTGATTCTCAAGGCGAAGTCGCGCAAAGCAACAGAGACTCTGATACTGGACTCTTGGGGAACTCTGACTCCTGGCGCATGCTAGGGGGCTCTGGTTTTCAACACGCTCCAGGGGGGTCTCTATTTCAGCACGGTGCAGGCAGGGTCCCTAATTCTAAGGGCACATACGAGGCCACATTGAGCGCTGGCAACACTGACTCAGAGCGAGCCTGGTTCCCACCAACCAACAACAACCACACATCTTAGTGTCAGAGCTCTTCAGTGACACTAAGGTGGTGGGAGGCTCCCACTGCACACGGCCCAGGCCCACGCAACCCGACCTTTGATCCATCGGGAGATAAGCAGAATGAAGAAACGACACAACACCCAGAGGAAAGACAATGAGGAATCACCAAGAAAGGAAATTAATGAAGTTGAAGCGTGCAACATGACAGAAAAAGAATTCAGAATAATGGTTGTACAATTCATTCACCGGATGGATGAGAAAATCAACAACCTATGCAAGAATCAGGAAGAAATGAAAAGTGATATAGCTACAATCAAAAACACCATGGAAAGTTTCAACAGCAGGCTGAAAGAAGCAGAGGACCGAATTAGTGAGTTAGAAGATAAGGCAGAGAAACAAGCTCAATCTGAACAGCAACTGGAGAAAAAAATTAAAAAACAGGAGGAGAGCCTAAGGGAGCTTCGGGACAACATGAAACGAAGTAACATACGCATAATAGGGCTGCAAGAGGGACAAGAAGAGCAGCAAGGATTAGAAAATCTATTTGAAGAAATAATGACAGAAAACTTCCCAGATATGGGGAAGAAAAAAGTTACACAAGTACAGAGAGTCCCAGGCAAGATGAACCCCAAAAGACCCACACCAAGACACGTCATAATAACGATGGCAAATGTACAAGACAAAGAGAGAATCTTAAAGGCTGCAAGAGAGAAACAGAGAGTTACCTACAAAGGATCCCCCATCAGATTATCAAACGATTTCTCAACAGAAACACATCAGGCCAGGAAAGAATGGACAGAAATTTACAAAGTGATGCAAAGCAAAGGACTGAATCCAAGAATACTCTATCCAGCAAGGCTATCATTCAAAATTGAAGGGGAAATAAGAAGCTTCACAGACAAAAAAAGGCTAAGGGAGTTCATCACCACCAAGCCAGCAATGCAAGAAATGCTAAAGGGACTGGTGTAAAAAGAAGAAATAAAAAGCCCAGAAAGAAAACAGCCACACAAAAAAAGAAATGGCTACAAACAAGTACCTTTCAATAATAACTTTAAACGTAAATGGACTAAATGGTCCAATCAAAAGACATCGAGTGGCTGAATGGATAAAAAAACATGACCCATACATTTGCTGTCTACAAGAGACCCACCTCATTAAAAGGGACTCACACAGACTGAAAGTGAAGGGATGGAAAAATATCTTTCAGGCAAATGGAAATGAAAAAAAAGCTGGGGTAGCAATACTTATATCCGACAAAATAGACCTCAAAGTGAAGGCCATAACAAGAGATAAGGAAGGCCACTTCATAATACTAAAGGGATCAATACAACAAGAGGATATAA